CACTGAGCTACACAAAATTGATCCAGTCCTAAAGAGAAATATCTCACACAAAGGTGACCTCAGCACTTGGGATCCCATGCCTTTATCCCAGGATTTGAAAGGTATAAAAGGAAGAAGTAAAGGGTCTCATGTGAGACTTTTTCTCCAGCCATGCTGAGGACAGGTCAGCCCTTTCAGCTTGAGGTAGAGGTAAAAGCTATTGGCTGACTGCTTTCCTTATCTGACCATCAGCTTGAATCCCAATATCTGTCTCTGGGTTTTCGTGTTACACAGCGCTATCCTAGTAATGTATTTGGCAGTCTGAGACTGTTGCTTCCATGTGCAATGCACACACACTTCATGTCTAACAATGCACCTAGCAACCTGCTAGCAACCAAGGACCCTTGCACCTGCATTAGCTGCATGCACACCCTCTCTGAACAGTGGAATGCGTTTCTCCTCTCTTTAATGACTACCAAAGTCAGACTGAGTGACAGTCAGTTCAACCAGAATGGAGACACTAACCCAGTTCACAGAGGTTTGGGATACATGTTCCATAAGACAAAAGTGTATTCCCAAATGATTTTTCTATTTACCATCTTGTGCCTATGCATAATTTGGCATGCATATGATGAAAATAAGATGTATTATGGAGCAAACTTACATAATTCAAATCGATTAACCAACACAGAAAAGTATCCTTTAGTAACCAAATTACTTATTCTCTTGAACACCATAAAAGAATGCTCTACTTTAATCCCAGCACTTGGGAGTCAGAAGCAGGTAGATCTCTGTGAATTCCAGGCCAGCCTGGTCTACAGGGCAAATTCCAGAATAGCCAAGGCTGTTACACAGAGAAACCCTGTCTCAAAAAGCCAAAAAACAAAACAAAACAAAACAAAAAAACCCTCTCCAAGCTGTAATTGGGATTCCTGTGCTCCTCTACCACATACTCTGGTCTTCTCTATTGCTTTACTTTAGATAAAGTTCCTTCACCACTTTGGAATTTGTGTGGGCTTTTATTTTGTTTTTGTATAAGAGGCCAAGAGCCTGGAGGCACCCAATTCAGACAGCACCTCTGACTACTGGTAGTATCCCCAGAATTTTTTAAAAATGTTATTTACTTTGTATTGCAAGCTACAAGCTTAATTGTTTGGTTTTTTTTAGATTTAATTTTTTTTTAAATTTCCATTTTGTGCCTGTGTATGTGCTGGTGATCCCCTGGAGTTGGAGTTTTAGTGAGCTTGAACCACCCACATGGATGCTGAGAACAGAACTTGGGTCCCCTGGAAGAACAGAAAGTGCTACTTACTACTGAGACAGCTCTCTGACTCCATGAGTTTGCATTTATTTATTTTTATTTTACATGTGTAGGTATTTTGTCTGCATGTATGTCTGTGCACTACATACAGGCAATGTCCTCAGAAACCAGAAGAGGACGTCAGATGCCTGGGACTAGAATTATAGATGGTTGTGAGAGGGAATTGAACCTGGGTTCTCTGGTAGAGCAGCCAGTACTCCTAACAACTGAGGCATTTTTCCATGCCCAAGTTTTAAACTTTGAATTTCACTTTTCTTATTTATTGATCAAGGTGGCAATATTGTGTCTGAAAAATACTTGACACTCTAAAGTTCAAGGAAGAAATAAGTAACTACAGAGTGAATGATTTCTTCAAAGGGTTCGAAGTCCAACAAGAGAACAACGAAATGAGATTTTCATGAACAATATACTTGTGTGTAGACAAGCACCAAAATGCCAATATGTGATTCATAAAAAGGGGAGTTCATCTTCTATATGTTGGCATGTACTAGGGAGAGATACCCTCTCTTGCCTCAATGCCTGAGGTAGGTGGGAGAGCTGGCCCTGTGGTCATAAGAATGGGAGAGCTGTTCCTGACCCCCATCAGCTGCAACACTCAGGAGAACAGGCCCTGCACCTTGCCTGGGCAACACAATGGAGCCAACCTTGTTGGTGAAGGTGTTGGTGAGCCAGCCCCAAAGTAGTGAGCAAGGGAGAGCTGTCCCTACTACTTGTCTGTCATGCAGTGGTGTGGGAAGGGGAGAGATGAGAGACCCAACCTTCCCCTTACCAGCTGCAGCACTCAGGAAAGCAGGACCTTCCCCTCTCCTAGGTAGCACACCAGAGCTGCACAGTGGTTAGGGGTGAGGGCGACCCATCCCCAATGTAAACAAGGGAGAACAACCCCCATTACTAATCTGATACGTGGCAGTAGGCGGGAAGGAGAGATGCCCCCCATCAATGCCTGAGGCGGGTGGAGGAGCTGGCCCTGGGGTTATAAGAGCAGGAAGGCTGTCCCTGCCCCTCACCAGCTGCAACACTCAGGAGAGGCCCCTGTACCTCTCTGGGGCATCACAATAGAGCTGGCCCTGATGGTGCAGGTGTGGGGTGCCAGCCCTGAGGGCAGGAAAGCAGAACTGGCCCACTCCTCACTCATTGCTGCAAGAGGTGAATTAGCCGGGTCAATGCTGGAGAGCTCACCAGGGTGGTGAGCCCAGGGTAGAACTGGCAGGTGAACCACCCTGCGGCTGCTCAGACCAGAAAGAGTTATGACTTGACCTGTCCCCACACCCACTCCATCCATGATCTGATCTGCTGGGGCACGTGAAGGGACCCAGCCCACAGGTCCAAAGCTGCAGGATCGCCACAACACAGGGCAACCACAGGATGTCCAGGAGGAGTCCTAGTGAGGGCTCAGCTTTGATAGTGTAGTAGAAACCAGAGGCCACAAACCAGACGATGAACACTTGCCAGTAAAGACATATGAACAAAGGAACTTACCGTGTGAATCACTGTGTCACACTGCAGCTTCCATGGTGAGATTTAAAATTTTTCTCTTACATTTTGTTTTATTTTTGAGGGGGGGATGCAGGGGTGGAGGGCAGATGGGAAGAGATGGGGAGATGAATGGGATCAAGATACATGATATAAAGGACACATAGAATAAATGAAAGAAAGAAAAAAGAATATAGATCCCTGACACAAAATCAAACAATTGGTTGATCTGGTTGGTAAGACCATAGAGTTCTATGTCATTTCAGGGGTAAAGAGCAAACATGGGAAATTCACTGAGAATTTTAAGTATAGTTTAAAGCATGTCTCTCAGTAGAAGAGAAGGGTAGAGTTTGATTAGGATTGTGTAAGAATCACAATATGATAATTAAAAGGGAAGACCAGTAAAGCAATGATTTTTCAATAAGAATTGCAAAGAAAAAAAGGTTGGTTTTTTGTTTGTTTTTTCCTTTGTTTTTCAAGATAGGGTTTCTCTGTGGCTTTGGAGTCTGTCCTGGAACTAGCTCTTGTAGATCAGGCTGATCTTGAACTCACAGAGATCTGCCTGCTTCTGCCTCCCAAGTGCTGGGATTAAAGATGTGTGCTACCACCACCCAGCTAGGACCCTGCTTCTTATACATCTTTTATTCCCTGAGTTTAGGATTATGCTTTTACATCACAGATTCTCAATAGATGTTTGATGGTAATGAGAGTTCACATTGCAACAGAAAAACCTGTGAGATAAATGCGTTTAACTTTTTCAGTCAGTATAAGAGAAGGTATCCTGTTCAAAGGAATGGAGCAGTGAATTCAGTGTTCTACTATCTACAGTTGAGCACAGTATAAACTGAAGTTCACAAACACTCTTGCCTTGGCTTAAAAGATAACATCACTTCTCTCCTTTCTAAGTTTTGGGGAGGTTGTGGCCTTGATTTATAATGTCATCAGGGATGCAGGAAGTGCAACAGCTCTGCCACCATCCTCAGCATGGAGATCAAATCTCAGGGCCTGGGAGATTTATGTTGTTGGGTTTGCCAGTAGACTTTTTTTTTATTTGGTTGAATAATATTCCTTTGGGTATGTCTTACTTTTAGCCATGCTATTTTGATAACTCTAAAAATAGAACTTACAAGAACTGAGATTTTTTTTTTGCATGCTGAGTTGAAATGTATAGGACAGCTTTATCATTTTATTTTATATGCTTACTTAGTGCTTGTAGAGGTCAAATACAGAGCTAAATACAAGAATTCTTGGTCCTTCCCTCAACTAGAGAAAAAGACACTTGAGTTGTCCCTATTTAGATGGAAAGCATGTGACTAAGCTGCCACCTTAAATACTTGCTAATAAAGCTGCAAAGTCAAACCTTGGGGTATCCAGATGCTAATAAACAAGTTTATAGTCAGGTCTCTGGTAAGAAACCTTTTGAGCATCTTCTGACTTAAAGTCTTGCTTCAGCAAACAGGTGTCTGGCATCAAAAAGCACCTTGGCCCCAGAGTCAGGTCCCTCAGAGTCTATTTATGGTTCTGTTACCGGATTACCTTGCACAACACAGGAGCGTGCACTTTCCGTAAAACCAAGGGGCGAGACTGCCCTCCAGACCTAGCACTTGAGGTTGGGTTCCAGGTGCCTAGGGGCCTGACTGGACTCCTCAGTGAGCTCCAGTGCACCGTTTCACACCATTTTCTTTAGTGTGAAGTAGAGATCCGGTTTTGATATAGCCACAAGGACTTTGTATTCCTCCTTTCTGTTAATTCAGAAACCTATAAATAGTTCAAATCTTAAACGCCCTATAACTTTTCTTACTGTTTTGTTGTATGTTGAGAGAGCAGGGAGGAAGAGAGAAAGAGAGAGGGAGGGAGGAGAGAGGGAGGAGAAAGGGAGGGAGAGAGAGAGGGAGGGAGAGAGAGGGAGAGAGAGGAGAGAGAGGGAGGGAGAGACGGAGACGGAGACAGAGACAGAGACAGAGACAGAGAGAAGACCCTGTAGGACACTGGGAAATGAGGAAGCGCCCCCTGGTCTTCTGGGGACTACATTTCCCGGGAGCAGTTGCGGCCCACAGAGGACTCAGCAATCTGATTGGAGGCCACAGCGCAGACTCGGAGCTGGGCGCGCGTCCCCGCGAGGTCTCAGGCCCCTGGGCGCGTGTGTGGAGACACCGTCAGGGTTGCGAGCGTGCGTCGCCGGAGGGGCGGACCGGAGGCTCCCGTGGGGCGGGGCCGAGGGTTTCTCGTCGACGCCGCCTTCCTGCCCCGCCCCTGGCCGTTCGGCCCGCCCCTCCTTCCTGGAGCCTCCGCTGAGGCAGAGGCGGCGTGGCGGCCAGGAGGGGGGCGGCTAGTGGCCGGAGCGACACGCGCTCGCCGCGACCCTATGCGGTGATTCGTGCGGCGCAGGCGCCTCCTGCCCCGCCGGCGGGGCTCGGGCTTCCCGCGGCGGGATGTTTTCCCGAAGGAGCCACGGGGATGTGAAAAAGTCCACGCAGAAGGTGCTGGACCCCAAGAAGGACGTGCTGACCCGCCTGAAGCACCTGCGGGCGCTGCTGGGTGAGGCGCGGGGCGTGGGCTGTTCTGGTCAGGGCCACCTGCCGGAAGATGGGTCCTATCCGCGTCGTGGGCCTGGCGGCTTCTCGGGTCCCAGTGATGCAGGGGGCTGGGGATGGTGCGCACAGGACCCCTGCTAGCCCAGATCGGGACACTTGAAGCATTGTTCCTGAAGGCGGTAGGCTCGCTCTGGGTGCTATCCTATCTCCTCAAGTGTAAACTCATTTGGGCTCCTAGCCTCGGGTAATCTCGAGGCCAGGCACAGAGGTGACTATACTCTGTCCTCTCCAGGAAATAAACCCAGCACAAGTGGAGCGAGCAAGAACACACACACACCTCTGCCATTTCTCCCTGCCATTTTTAAAATTTAAATTCTTGACAACTTGGGTTAGACCAGGACCTCAAGTGGTCCCGTCACAGACTCAGTTGAACTGCTGTCTCTTTCACCCGCTCTCCTTTTAACATATTAGTATATTTGAGTGCGAGACTTCAGATAGGTTGATTCCAAGTGATCCTAGGACCATTTTTTTTATGTCATTTCTTCTCCCTTGTCCTTCTCCCTTTTACATTTAATTCTTTTGGGGGTGGGGAGGGTTGGGCTGATAGAGTTCTTGGAGTGAAGGGGGTTCTGTTCACAGAAACCCAGGCTTTCTTGGGTTCAGGGAGACTTGTAACCAGAATGACTCCCTGCCACCTTCCCTTTTTATGGCCTGCAGGGTGGAGGTTCTGCAGAGCCCAAGTGGGCCTGGAATTGACCTGTAAAGACTTGAAAGCTCACCCTTGTGGGTGTGAAGTGTTCACAGGGTTTCCTGCTGCTGCTGCTGCTGTGTAGCTTGACTAGAATACACACACACACACACACACACACACACACACACACACACACGATTCTAGTTCTGTCTGTCTTAACTTTTGTTCAGGATAGAAACATCTTTGTCTGTCTGTGGACAGACTTGTCTGTATTTTGGGGACAAGGAAGACATGTTCTTCTACATGTATTTACTGTTGAAACAATCATAATAATAAAAATTGGACACCCAGTTTTAGAGCATCTGTCACTTGAGAAAATAGGACTTAAAGAACTCATTTTGAAGGTGAGAGTTTTAAGCATCTTGTTAATGAGATTAAGAGTTGCTAATTATTTCTATTTATATTATGTAAACTATCTCTGGGTGGGAGACAGGCCAGTCAACCAGCAAATCAGTGAACCAACAGAAATCTAAAACTCAAAACCATGAATACCACCACCACAAAACTACCCCCCCAAAAAAATCCACCAGATTTTTCTAAATGAAGTTGCTTCTATCTCAGATTCTTGGAGATTACACTTAATGTGTTCAGTTTATGATGAATGTAAATCAGCTATTGTTAGAGGGATTGGTTTCTGGACTCTTGAAAGCAAAATGAGGTGTTCTTGGTAAATTGAACTTTCTCCTTCCTGTAGTGAAATGCCCAGACACACAAGTGCTTTGTCTTGGGTCCTTAGTATCTGATTAGCTCCTCCTGCAGGAGCATTTTTGATAAAGGTGGATCAAACAGTATTTTAAGGCATTTGATACTTTGAAACCCTTTCTGTGCTAAAGAATTTAAGCCTTTGTTCTGATTTAGAAGCCCTAGATTAAGTTGGCTACATTTTATAAAGTCAGAAAACCTAGATCAGACTAGTAGTTTCTTAGAGATATGCTATCCTTGTTACGATTCTGAGAAAGTAGATACTTTTCGTGTCTGAGTGTCCCTAATTTCTCCTCTAAGGTGTATGTCTCATTTCAGCTGCAGGTGGTAGGGGTAGGCATCTATCCATCCATCCATCCATCCATCCATCCATCCATCCATCCATCCATCCATCTATCATCTATATCTATCTATCTATCTATCTATCTATCTATCTATCTATCTATCCATCCATCCATCCATCCATCCATCCATCCATCCATCCATCCATCCATCTTTTTTAATGTGTGTATGGTCTGTTTGTGCTAGTGGAGACCAGTAGACAGATCCCCTGGGACTGGAGTTAAAAGTGATTGTGAATTGCCCTGGGGTCAGTACTGGGAGCTAAACTCTACAAGAGCAGCAGGTGCTCTTAACCTCTGAGGCATGTCTGCAGCCTGAATCATCTTTATATGTGAAAAAATAACAGCTTTATTGTCACTCAGAGATAAAATCTGTGTTTAAAATACTGTTTGTAATGTAGAGTTCTTTGCTGTTTCATTAGGAATACTTTTGTTGTTGATGATGGCCAAGTTTCCCTTATGTATTACTGTGATCATTAACAATAGGGGCTCTATTTTTTGAAAAATAAAATTTGAGGCATTCTAGCCATAATATTTACTGTATACTTTTGCTTTACAACTATAATTAGAAGACTTTAAAAGAAAACATGCATTAAATTATTAATTCCCACAACATTAAATATCTTACCTAGTTACTATCTTTAAGAAATACAGTGTTCTTGAACTGAAAGATAGGAATTAAGTCAATATGAAGGTAACTGTAGGGAATTATTTTAATTAGTATTGTTCATTATATATGTACTTAAACTCTTGCTTTTCAAATCTGTATCTTCACGTGAAATAAGACTGGTGTTTTTTCACATGTAAGGAGGATGCTACTGACCTGGGTTTGCAGCCTGTCACTGCCACTTGTAGCTGCACAACTTGGGCTAGTACTTTACTTAGCCTCAGCTTTGGTTACTCTGTTAAACAGGTATGGTAAGGGTGTGAGTACGTATGTAATGACTTAGACTTGGAGCAGGCATTTACCAGATTCTTCTTTATTACTTTCCTGCCACCATTAATAGGATATACATTTTAAGAGCTATTTTCTCCACCCTTCTTTTTTTTTTTTTATTAGATAATGGTAATGGCCTTACTCTCTGGTCATAAAAAGCAGCCTGTACTTCAGACAACTTGCTGGGTTCTGACTGTATTCTTTAAATCAGCCCTTGTAGGGTTGTGTTGTAGATGGTTTGCATGTATCGTTAAGAACTGAAGGAACTGACTTCAGTTTTCCTTGTGCTGTTTAAATTATCATCGAGAAAGTAACTGAACAAGCCCCCCTCTCCGAACTTGCAGTTCCTGTGTATTACTGAAACAAGTAATCCCAGCCTTTGGGAGTTTAAGGCAGGAGGATTATTGTTAATTCAAGATGAGTCTGGGTTTCATAGAAAGTTCTCTGTCAGTCAGGTCTACATAGCAAGATCCTGTCTCAAAAAAACAAACTTTCCTGTAACCACATTTATGACACAAAAGTATTGAAATTAATTATAATGCATTTTATTTAACCTATTGTATTACATCAGCAGGTAATAGTAAAGGTTAACAAATAGTTTTATAGCACTTTTTCTGTGTAAATTATTTGAAATCCAGTATATATTATATAGTCAGCACATTTTTATCTTTGCTAGCCACATTTCACACACACAGTAGCAAGATATGACTATTGACTACAGGTTGGGAAGCAGGAGAATATGGAAAACTTGGTAGTAGAAATCCATGTGGCAGTAGTGCAGGAGGGTGACTCTTGCCTGCATCCACTGTGAGTGTGGAGTTGGAAAACTGGGCACAGAGGTCCCTCATGTAGAGCCCTGTGTAGATCAGGGTTAGAGCCAACACCTTGGCAAGCAGAGGCTGATGGAGACTTGGTAGCCCCAGTCAGAGAGGGTTCGGCTTGCTTGAGGTAGAACCTCACATCTATCCTTAAGGTAGGAGTTGGTGTGGAGACTTTTTAGCAGGCAATAGATAGGACTTGAGAACTGTCCATCTGCCAGAGACACCAGAAGAATGGATCAGGAGGGGAGAGACTGGAGGCAAGGGGTTTCCCGAAAGGGCTGTGGCATGGGGAACAGGTAGACGATAGACTGTTGGAAGAGGAAGGCAGCGATGACAGGACAGAGCAGCAAGAACTAGTGATACCTCAAGTGCAGTATGGGCTGCTTAAAGAGTGATTAACACGAAGTAAATTGGGGTTGGAGGCTGTGGCATTCTGGTCAAATCATAGCTAGTACTTGGACCTCAGATTTGCCCCAGAGAAAATAGTTTCTTAAAATGTTCTGTATATTGACAGAGCAAAATATAGCATTATATTTCTTCATACTTTAAATAGGGGCAAGTTCACTTGTAATTTTAGAGGTTGCCGTTTACTTTACTCATTTATTGTGTGTGTTTATGTGTTACATGTGTGTAGCATATGCACACTTGTGTGTGTGCATACACATGGAGATCAGAGGAGGACATCAGGTGTCCTTTTCTGTCATACTTGCTTCTCCATTGAGCTCAAGATAGGGGCTAGCCTGGTGGCCAGAAAGCCCAGGGATCCTGTGTACACTCTCCACAGCTACCAGCATGGGTTGCAGGTGTGTGTGTAACCATGGGTGCTGGGGATTTGATCTGGAGTCCTGCACACTTGAGTATGCAGCAAGTGCTCTTACCCACTGAGCCATCTCCCCAACTCCTTATATTTAGTCACTAGTATTCTTCATGTTATGTCCCTCTCATTTTTAGTTCCAAACATTTGTGTGTACCATAATCCAGTAGCCTAACCTGGCCTCAAACTCTCCATCTTCCTTTTTTCCCCTGCTAAGTTCTGGGACTACAGGTGTGTGTGTGCCAGCATGTTCAGCTTTTTCTTTTCCCCTCTCCTCCCCTCCTCCTTCCTCTTCTGATAGCAGTAATACCTCTCAAACCATCTGGTGTTTTTCCTTAGAATAGACTTCCCCTTTTCACTTTAGTCTGAATAGCAACACACCCCTTTTTATAGTTTGATAATTGGTAATGGGCATTTGGGATTATGGAAGTATCCTGGATAGAGCTAGGGAAGTGGGAGGGGTCCTAGCTAATGATGGGGTATGGCAAGTTTGGTGTATTACAAGGTGAGAGTGAGAAAAGGAAGGTCCAAGTGGAATGTCTGGGACGAGATTGTGGTATGTGGGGTCAGGAACTTAATAAGAGGATAGCAAGCACCGATATGATCCTTTATTATGATGAGCTCATCAACTCCCCACA